TATATATATATTGTCACACTGTGAATCAGAGCGCGAAGGCGGAAAAAAGCAAAACAAGGGAAGGAAAAGAAGTTGTTGTTTTTTTTCGACATACAGTTTTTCTAGTAGCTGCTCCGTCATCTCGATACGGAAAGGATCCGTTGAGTCCAGCTTCTTGATATTATTCACTAATTTGGTCACCATGCCACAAAGCTTGTTGTACCTGTTGCGGAAAACCAAAAAAAAAGACACACAAAACAAAGCAAAAGCCAAGTAAGACAAAGGATAGCAAAAAAAAAAGAGAGAGAGAGAGAGAGGACACACAAAGGTGAGCGATAGTAAGAACTTCTAGGAACGAAAAAATGCTAATCGGAAAAAAAACAGTTCTTAAATATTGGACAAAGGATCGGGATCGAGATGGCCAGTGCTTGCTACTTGTCAGAACCGAAATTCCAAGATACTTTTTTAGTTTTAACATCGATGGGCGCGGAGTTTTCTTTTTTACACCTTTATTTACCTACCTTTCACCTACTTCCACCTATTTTTACCTTTTCTTTTTAACTTATTTTTACCCCTTTTTCTTTTGACCTATTTTGCCTCATGGATGGAAGAAAATCTCGATCCCCATCTTCTATTCCCATCCTCTTTCTCCCAATCTCCACATCATCACCATTACCATTATTGTGATCAACAGTAGCAGATGCAAGAGCCGCCGCCGCCGCCGCCGCTGCCCCCCCATCATCCTCATCATCATCCTCATCATCATCCTCATCATCATCCTCATCATCATCCTCATCATCCTCATCATCCTCATCATCCTCAGCCTCATCATCCTCTTCATCCTCATCATCATCTTCACCATCATCTTCAATCCTCATCCTCATCATCATCTTCATCATCATCTTCAATCCTCATCCCCCATCATCCTCTTCCATCATCGTCTTCATTCATCATCAGCATCATCATCCTCATCATCATCATCATCATCATAATCCTCGTAATCATCACGCTCATCATCGTCATCACCATCATCACATCATCTTCGTCATGATCATCCTCATCATCCTCTTCCATCATCATCATCATCATCATTTAATCATCACCCTCATCATCAACTTCGTCATCATTCTCATCATCATCATCATCATCTACTCCATCATCGTCCTCATCCTCCGCAGCAGCAGCTGCTGCCCCCGCCACGTGGCCATCATTATCCTGGTCGTCATCAGGAATAGACGCTGGAATGGAGTTTCGCTTTCTCAATCGATCTGCCATTACACATTTATTTCAAAAACAATAAATAAAAAATCCAAAAAACACATTATCTAGCCCTTCTGACGAGTCCGACGAAAAACCACAGTCTGTCACACAACCGCTCCTCCTCTCTTCTTCTCCTCTTCTCCCCTGTCTGCCTACTACACGGTTCACCGGGATGACACTTCTCTTTGACGATATAGGACAAAACAAAAAAGGAAAGAAGCAAGGAAGGAAGGAAAGCTCCGCCGCCTGTTCATCACCTATTACGTACAAGGCCGCCCACGTGGATGACAGACAGGTTGAGCGCCGACTGCATTTAGCTTCCTGATGAGTCATTCGGTGAAACTCCGACGAATTCAAACAGTTTGTCACCGCCCCTCCCTCGTTTGCTGTCCTCTTCTCCTTCCCTCCCTCCCTCTCTGCCGCTAGAAAAATCGGCTAGAGAAGCAGGGACAAGCGCAAAATTTAATCCCAAACGGTTTATCAACCGTGCAGATCTGCGAGATCCTAATGGTTGATGATCAATCCGCTCTCAATTCTCTATTTTATTATTACCATCATTATCTTCTCCTATTGTAATAATACTACATAAATTTTAACGAATTCAGTTTCAAATTTGAGATTGGTTAAAAAAAAAAAAAAAAGTGCAGATCTGGATTTCGATAGTCATACAACCCTCTTCCCCCGATCACAACGCACGCTGATCATCAATGTATATACAACCCTCTTCCCCCGATCACAACGCACGCTGATCATCAATGTATACAATGTATCTTTTGGGTAACATACAGTCACGACGTGGCTGCGCTGTGTTCAGGGAGAGAGACGGCCTAGTTATATCTACTTTTATTTAATTAATTAATCACATTTTAATTAATCAGTTGATTATTGAATCAACGCGAAGAGAAGAGACGAGATCTTGACAAATCCGTTCTGCCCGGGAAAAATTTACAATTCCGTCCAGTTGCATTGAACCCAACCCAACCCAACCCAACAAACACACACACGCTCTCTCTCTCTCTCTCTCTCTCTCTCTCTCTCTCTCTCTCTCTCTCTCTGATGAGTCGAAAGTTCGACGAAACAGTCTGGCACAGTCATGCCTTTCTGTTTGTGGAGTTGTGTATAACGAATATGACAACACACACACACACACACACACACACACAGATAGTCGGAGTTCAACCTCGAGATGAATCAGCGGAAGTCCGAGAGACGGTCTGGCACAGTGATGGGGAGAACCCATCTCTGCTGGTGGTTCGCCATCACGCGTCCTGCTGCTGCTGATGATGATGATGATAATGATGATGATGATGATGATGATGATGATGATGATGATGAGGATGAGGAGGAGGAGGAGGATGAGGATGATGAGGATGATGATGGTGAGGATGATGAGGATGATGATGATGATGATGATGGTGATGATGAGCATGGCCCACAAACGCATGCAATGCTCCAAAATCGTCAATATTGAATTTTCAATCAAGCCCCATTACGGAATTTGGGCATACGTGGCAGCAGCAGCATCAACAACCACAACAACAGGAAAGAAAAAAAAAGAGGAAATGCATCAAGAAGAAGAAGAATAACGCACAGGAGGAGGAGAATTGCCTGGAGGTACTAATGACATGAGGAGGAGGAGGAGGAGGAGGAAGAACAGAAGGAAGAGGAAGATATATGGAGGTATTCATGGTCTGAGGAAAAGATGAGGACAGACGAAAATGACAGCTGTTATGGTCCTGGCCAATTCTGAAGTGAAAATACACAAGGAAAGACAATGCCATTCAATAACAAATGAAATGAAAGAACTTGGAAAGAGGGAGAGACAAAGGAAGGAGAAGGAATAAGAAAGAAAGAAAGAAAGAAAGAAGAAGAAGAAGAAGAAGAAGAACACCAGCAAAAGACCAATGACAAGTTTCCCCCCTTCTCTCGCCACTCACTTTCCGCCTCCTTATCAACCCCAATCTTATTCATCAATAAATAATAATAATAATAATAATAATAATAATAATAATAATAATAATAATAACAACAATGAATGGCTGAACCAGAACTAATGTACGAATCTCCGTCTTACTGCCAGCACTGCATGAGGTCCACCATAGCCATGACGTTCTTCCTCTACCCCCTCCGCTAGGTGATGGCTATGGCTGACTACTAGGCGCCCTGGCCCGATGGTCACAAGACAACGAGCGAAGATGACAGCACGCACGCACACACAAATACAAAGGTCCGATGAAACGGTCTGTCACAGTCAATCCTCTTTTTGTGAGTAGTTGAACTTGGAATAATACAAGTACACAACACACGAGCCTGGGTAAAGAGAAATTCTTTTTTTTCTTTTTCTTTCGAAATAGAAATTCTGACAAGCAGACCAAAAAAGAGCACACGGATGAGATAAGACCAGATTGTCAGAATTTCCTGCTGCTTTTTTTTTTCCTCGTCAGAATTTCTTCTTACCCTTCTTTTCTTTCTGTGGCAATCAAAAGAAAAGAGAACTCTCCCCCCTCCCTCCCCCCTCTTCTTCCCCCTCCCCCTCCCCTCCCGTTGTTCCGCCGCCTCCTCCAACATAATTAAAAACCAAAAAAAAAAGGAGCACATGCATACTCGTACTACGGTACGTAGTACTACTTCCTTTCTTCTTCTTCTTCTTTTTCTTTTTTTTTTTTCTTTTTTTTTTTTCTTTTTTTTTTTGTGTGTGTGTATGTTTGGTAATCAAGGATCAGGAGTACTTACTTTTCGTAAGCAGTCTCGATTCGTAAGTCGATCCCTNAAAAAAAAAAAAAAGGGAGCACACGCACACTCGTACTACGGTAAGCAGTATACTACCGTTGTTTTTTTTTCTCTTTTTCTTTCTTTTTTTTTTTTTTTTGGTAATCAAGGGTCATCAGCACTTACTTATTGTAATCGTCTCGATTCGTAAGTCGATAGTTCCGAATGGCTTTCACTTCGCGTAAGTTGCGTTCCTTCTTCCATTCCAAAAAGTTGACTTTGCGCAAAAGCCGCTGCTCATGAAAACGAAGCTTCCTCATTGGTGGGAGCTTGGCAACCAATCAAAAGGCAGTTATGAAAGGAATTAAAAATTGGGGGAAAAAAAAGAGGAAGCAATTGGGTTGGGGGGGGGGGAGAGGGGGGGCGGGGATGGGAGTCGGGGGAAATGAGCAATCGTGCAACGAGAGAGAACGCCGGCGAAGGACACGTGGCAGCAGGGGAGAAAGAAAAACGGACGGGCGCACGACGGGAGAGAGAGAGAGAGCCCGAGAGGCAAAACCGTCGGCTCGCCGCGCGGCCCTACCGGTAGCACTCACGGGGATTCGCGAGGTGGCACAGAGAAGATGTTTTCACTTTTCTTTTTTTTTTCTTTTTTTTTTTTTTTCGAGAAGATGTTCTCACTCTCACAGTTCGTGAGAGCTGTGTTCTGTCCCCCGGCCCCAAAGTTGCGATTTTGGGGTTTTGTATTTTGGAGACGATTTGGGGGGTTTGTAGTTTGGAGAATGGTCAATGGTATTGCCAAGGGGATATAACCTTGAGGTCCCATGACAGACAGGGCCAGGCTTGGTGCCAACCAGTTTGATCCCACTGGTCCGTATCAGTAGGGTCCGGAGAGCAGCAATGGGGAGGGGGTGTGCCAAGGATTTTAGGAAACGTCGAGTGTGGAGTTCCAAGTGGGAACTGGAACCGATCGTGCGGTTCCGGTTATGGAGCAAATAACGGGAAACAACTAAACCAGGCAAAAACCTCCAGCGCAAGGACTATCTAATCCATGAAGTACCTTTGAACATCGTGCGACTTTCCCAGCCGAAAAGGTGCAGGCGTGTGTACGCCGGATCTCGGCTATGAACAAAGGTCCGATGACGCATCTCGCAGAGCTCGGAATCGCAGTCGGAGTCGGAGGGGTACAGCCGGGCTGCTTTCTCCGCGACTTCCACTGCTTTTCCACATGGCGTGTAGTTTAGCCGCGATTACAAAAGATGGTGTAAGCAGGGGCCAAGATTCAACGGGATCAAGGAGTAGGTGAGTAAGGAGGGAGAAGCAAACGGTTCTAGCTTAGCGGCAAAGGCGCGAAGACGAAGGACGAAGTGTGCAAGGAAAGATTACATGCAGGAACGCAAGAGTAGCAAGGCATCCGCGAAAAACATCAAGGCACCAAAATAGTTACGTGAAATGTCAGTGAAGTTGCACCTAGTTCCTACAGCCGGATTGCTGGAAAAGTTCGAAAATAAATTGCTCGCTCGCTTGCTAACGGGCTCGAATTTGTACGTCGATTACTATTCTACTATCCATCAGCAAAATTTTATGTGGCTTGCTATAACATCTCACGCAAAGAGAACGGACTCGCATCAACAAAATTTTATGTGGCTTGCTAGAACATCTCACGCAAAGAGAAACGACTCGCCGCAACTTATCCCGACCGACTTCCCTGAAAGCAAAAACAGATTCGAAAATAAATTCCAACCGCGTTCGCTAAGGCGCACGAAAATCTTACGTCTCCTACCGAAGAAATCCAAACAAATTACGAGAGTACATTTGAGAATCGTAAAGAAAAAAAGAAAAATAACTTTGAAAAGAAAATTCGATTAACCAATGCAAACCACCTTTTTTTTTTTAATGGGAACAAGGCTCCAATCTGTTCGTGGGAAGCATCACGTGCTGGGAACCAGGCCCAGCGTCCCATATGAAAATTTACATAGACTTGAAAGTTGAGATACCGGGGCCATTACCCGGCTTGGCTAAGAAAAATTGGGGCTACCTAGGAAATTACTACGACAGACTTCGGCATTAGACAAAATTTAGAAACCGACTCAGGAACCCCCCATCCATCCTCTTGACCTCACTCCGACAAGACTTGCTGCAGCAGATGCACCCATTGATACCCCTCCAGAGACAAAGCCTAAAGAATTGTGTTGGAATCCAAAAACACACTCGAAAACATAGTGTACATTATAAAAAAATTGGAAGAGGTCCAGGAACCAGTATATGTACATGAGCACATACGTCACAGGGTTGTTTGGTCGCCGTTGATAATTTCATCGGCAACCTAAGTTTCGTTTTCCACCCTCGAAACTCCCGGGTACCGACCCACAAACGATGTAGGGGAAAGGCAGTGGCAGTTCATAAGATGGGGGAATATATATATATATATACACACACACAGGGTAACCAGCATTCGGGACGGGCCGAACGCCCGAACCCGAACCCGAACCCGAACGCCCACACGTATGGGACCCCTTGGGGAAGCGTTCGGCCGTTCGAGCCGAACGCGGACCCAAAAAAA